GTCTGGATCCCGTGGGATGGGAATTCGAGAGATTCCTTTGGGAATTCCCGGGGTTTGTTCCTGGCTGGGATCCCGTGGGATGGGAATTGTGGAGATTCCCGAGGGAATTCCTGGGGTTTGTTCCCGTCTAGATCCCGTGGGATGGGAATTCCAGGGATTCACGAGGGAATTCCAGGGTTTGTACCTGGCTGGGATCCCGTGGGATGGGAATTGTGGAGATTCCCGAGGGAATTCCCGGGGTTTGTGCCTGGCTGGGAACCCGTGGGATGGGAATTCCTGGGGTTTATTCCAGCCTGGATGCAATGGGATGGGAATTCCCAGGATTTATTCCAGTCTGGATCCCGTGAGATGGGAATTCCAGGGATTCACGAGGGAATTCCCGGGGTTTGTTCCTGGCTGGGATCCCATGGGATGGGAATTGTGGAGATTCCCGAGGGAATTCCCGGGGTTTGTGCCTGGCTGGGTCCCGTGGGATGGGAATTCCTGGGGTTTATTCCAGTCTGGATCCTGTGGGATGGGAATTCCCAGGGTTTGTTCCTGGCTGGATCCCATGGGATGGGAATTCCTGGGGTTTGTTCATGGCTGGATCCCGTGGGATGGGAGTTGTGGAGATTCCCGAGGGAATTCCCGGGGTTTGTGCCTGGCTGGGATCCCGTGGGATGGGAATTCCTGGGGTTTATTCCAATCTGGATCCCGTGGGATGGGAATTCCTGGGGTTTGTTCCTGGCTGGGATCCCGTGGGATGGGAATTCCTGGGGTTTATTCCAGCCTGGATGCAATGGGATGGGAATTCCCAGGATTTATTCCAGTCTGGATCCCGTGGGATGGGAATTCCAGGGATTCCCAAGGGAATTCCCGGGGTTTGTTCCTGGCTGGGATCCCATGGGATGGGAATTCCTGGGCTTTATTCCAGTCTGGATCCCGTGGGATGGGAATTCCTGGGGTTTGTTCATGCCTGGGTCCCGTGGGATGGGAATTCCCGGGGTTTGTTCCTGGCTGGGATCCCGTGGGATGGGAATTCCTGGGGTTTATTCCAATCTGGATCCCGTGGGATGGGAATTCCTGGGGTTTATTCCAGTCTGGATCGGGTGGGATGGGAATTCCAGGGATTCCCGAGGGAATTCCCGGGGTTTGTTCATGGCTGGGATCCCATGGGATGGGAATTGTGGAGATTCCCGAGGGAATTCCCGGGGTTTGTGCCTGGCTGGGGTCCCGTGGGATGGGAATTCCTGGGGTTTATTCCAGTCTGGATCCGATGGGATGGGAATTCCCGGGGTTTGTTCCTGGCTGGATCCTGTGGGATGGGAATTCCAGGGATTCACGAGGGAATTCCCGGGGTTTGTTCCTGGCTGGGAACCCGTGGGATGGGAATTCCTGGGGTTTGTTCCAGTCTGGATCCTGTGGGATGGGAGTTGTGGAGATTCCCGAGGGAATTCCCGGGGTTTGTTGCAGTTTGGATCCCATGGTTTGGGAATTCCGGAGCCTTGCCTGGGTTTTGTTCCGGGATGGATCCCGTGGGAGTTGTGGGTTGGTAGCTGGGATTGGTGGGATGGGAATGGGAGTTGGAGCTGGGATTGTTGGGAATGTCCAGTGGGAACTGGATTCGGGATTATCGGGATTATCGTGGGAATTGGATCCCGGATTGTTGGGATTAAAGGGCTGGGAGTTGGATCTGGGATCATTGGGATCATCCCACGGGAATTGGATCTGGGAATGTTGGGATTGTCCCGGGAGGGGGCTGGGAGTTGGATCTGGGAATGTTGGGATTCCCCTGTGGGAATTGGATTTGGGATTGTTGGGATAATCCCATGGGAATTGATCTGGGATTGTTGGGATTGTCCTGGGGTCTGGATTTGGGATTACCTGGGAAAAGGCTGGGAATTGGCTCTGGGATCGTTGGGATCATCCCATGGGAATCAACTCTGTGATCGAGACTGAGCTGGGATCCTGGGGGGCCGAAACCCCGGGAGCATTCCCACGTCATTCCCACGTCATTCCCACGTCATTCCCACGTCATTCCCACATCATTCCCACGTCATTCCCACGTCATTCCCATGCTGTCATTCCCATGCTGTCATTCCCATGCTGTCATTCCCACGTCATTCCCACGTCATTCCCACGTCATTCCCACGTCATTTCCGTTTTCCCACCATTTCCATGTCGTCATTCCCACTTTTCCGACATTCCCTCTTTCCCCCCATTCTCATTCCCCCCATTCCCGTTTGTTTTCCCATCCATTCCCGTTGTTTCCCCGTTCATTCCCGTTGTTTCCCCATTCCCATTCCCGTTGTTTCCCCATCCATTCCCGTTGTTTCCCCATTCCCATTCCCATTTGTTTTCCTGTTCATTCCCGTTTGTTTCCCCATTCCCATTCCCGTTGTTTCCCCATTCCCATTCCTGTTTGTTTCCCTGTCCATTCCCATTGTTTCCCCGTTCATTCCCGTTGTCTCCCCATTCCCATTCCCGTTGTTTCCCCATTCCCATTCCCGTTTATTTCCCCATCCATTCCCATTTGTTTCCCCGTTCATTCCCGTTGTTTCCCCATTCCCATTCCCGTTTGTTCCCCGTCCATTCCCGTTGTTTCCCCATTCCCATTCCCGTTGTTTCCCCATTCCCATTCCCGTTGTTTCCCCATTCCCATTCCCGTTGTTTCCCCATCCATTCCCGTTGTTTCCCCGTTCATTCCTGTTATTTCCCCATTCCCATTCCCGTTGTTTCCCCATCCATTCCCGTTGTTTCCCCGTCCATTCCCGTTGTTTCCCCATCCCCATTCCCGTTGTTTTTTCCCCTCCATTCCCGGTGTTCCCGGTTCCAGGTGGACGCGGGGAAGCAGCGCGTGGTGGACGAGAGCGAGGGGCGGCTCTGGGCCGAGAGCCGCGGGTTCCTCTACTGGGAGACCTCGGCCCAGAGCGGGGAGGGCATCCAGGAGATGTTCCAGGTGGGAATTCC